AGGACATTTCTTCTACTAAGAAATTCCAGGGAGGCCGGGCGCGGTGGCTCACGCCTATAATCTAATCCCAGCACTTTGGGAGGCCAAGGCTGGTGAATCCCTTGAGGTCAGGAGTTTGAGACCAGCCTGGCCAACCTGGTGAAACCCCGTCTCTACTAAAAATACAAAAATTAGCCAGGCGTGGTGGCAGGTACCTGTAATCTCAGCCACTGGGGAGTCTGAGACAGGAAAATCCCTTGAACCTGGGATGCGGAGGTTGCAGTGAGCTGAGATTGCACCACTGCACTCCAGACTGGGGGACAAGAGTAAGACTTCATTTCAAAAAAAAGAAAAAGAAAGAAATTCCAGGGAGATGGAGATCATAAAACTGGTATAAGCAATAAAAATACATCCACGGCCAGATAGGGAAGGAGGACAAGGCGAGGAAGAGAGTAGAAAGTCAGGCTGGTGGTTTTCCACACACTTGCCAGGAAAAGAAACCCCAGTGTAACGACTTGAATGACGTTCTGAGATCAAAGTTGGGAAGCAAAAGTCACCAGTGCAGCACACGTGGAACCTGAGTAATGCAGGCAGCCTGGGCAGGTCCCCAAAGGGCCTCACCGCCACCAAAAAGAGGTGGAACTGATGTCAGGAGGCAATCACAGCCTTTCAAGCCTGCTGCTCCCGGATCTGAAATCTGGGAGCAGCTCTGAGAGATAAGCTCCGAATCGCTGGGTACTGAAGTGCCGCACTGCAAGCTGAGCTGGCCCTGGCTTTTTCCCCCATCAAGGGCAGAGACTGAATTCTTTTTAACTGTGTCACAAAGCTCAGGGCACACAAGAAGTACTCAAAAACGTATTCGCCGACACCCTGACTCCTATTTATATTGACCATTACACAACATGTTTGCTTAGAGCCCAGTGAAGGATTTTCAGAATGTTTCACGTCTGTCTCCCCACATTCAGGACAAGAGATAGTCACACAAGATGACAGGCTATGGGGACGCTCAAAAGAGCCATATCACCGGGGGCACGAGAGTTCCCCAGCGCCAGCAGCCCAACGCTCCAGGCCCCAGCACGACACAAAACCTTGCGGCATTCTCTAAAGTCAATGGACTTTAAAATGATAATCGTCATTCTTGCGACAGCTCCAAGAAGCCGGGCTCCTGCGGTCCTGAGCCCGCGTCTTTCTCCGCCCCGCCGCGGCCGCCGCACAGCACAGGTTCTCCGTCCTGAAGTCGGAGGCGCAGTCACAGTCCCTCTCAGGGCCACCGTCACACGGTCTCACCCTCGCGGCGTGGCCCGCACACTCAGCGTCCCAGTCACCCTCGCACCTGGGGTTCCCCTCTCTACACACACCCCGGTCTTCCTCGCACTCGCCGCGTCGCCGGCACACTCCAGGGCTGGCTCCCTCACGGTCACCATCAGCCTCCGGGGCTCGTACTCACACAGCGTTTCCCCCACACTTGGTCCTCACGCTGGAGGTCCCTCTCCCCTCGCGGTGCCACCCCTCACCCGCGGCGCCTCTCGTGCGGCCCCAGCCGGCCAGCCCTGCGCAGTTTCCGGGCCGCATCCCGCTCTGGGTGGCGGCGGCGAAGACCAAGAGGGTTCGGCTCTCTCAGAACGCGGCCTGGCCCTGGCCCTGCTCCCCGCGCGCCCGCCCACGGCCCGGCCCGTTACCTCTCGGAGAACGAACGCCGCCAGGATGCTCGGTTGCGCCGCCGCCACCACAGCCGCTCAGGCCCCGCCCCGCCACGTCATCCGCCTTCGGATCGCGACAGCGCGCGCCGCGTCGGGATAAAGTTCCGCTAGGGGCCCGCTGGCGGCGGCGTTTCCGGGCCCCTGTGGCAGCCACGGCCTGGCCGGTACGGGGTCTGCAGGCCCGGCCCGTGTACGTGGACGCCCCACAGCCCCCAGTGGCCTCGCCGGGTCCCGGCCACCCTCGCCGCCCTGGAGTCACACGGGGACTCCAAGGGCGTCCACACCGGGACATTCCCGCGGGGAGCTCACATCGGCCCCCGCACCCGGTTCCTATCCTGCCCTTGGCCTGGGCCCGGCGCCCAGGGGGTCCCCTGCAGCTCACACAGAGATCCAAATGGCCTTCGCCGGGCCATCGTCCTCCCACCCCTCCACCCTCCCATCCCCCGCCTAGGAACCCCACTCACGCAGGCAGACACTGCAGGCTCCTTCGGCCAACCCCAGGCCTCCCTGGAGCTCTGTCCTCATCTTCCCTGTCCCTGCTGCCACCTCTCTTGGGGGAGCTGCACTTACCGACCCCTTCCCCTCCTTCTGTTTGCTCCTCCATCTTCCTCTTCCTCTGGTGGCTCTGGGGCTCTGTCTAGAGCCTCCTGACCTCATGAGCCCCTGAGCCCTCCACCGAAATTTCCTGTCCACACCTCAAGCACTGACTTTCTCCAGGGCCCTGGAGTCTTTTTCCCCCAGCCATATGACCACAAGTGCACATCCTCTGGTTCCAGACCACACCCAAGACCCTGCTCCCTGCTACGCAGTGACCCAGTCAGAAACAGGCAGCACCCCAGACCCTTCCTCCCTCTCCCCCTAGGGCCTACACCCTGTCTTCTCCCCAGCCACAATGACTTCCCAGTCCCAATCCTGCTCCCCTTAACCCATCTCCACAGAGTGGGGGATGCTCCTAAAATACAGACTGTGGTGACTTTGTATCTCCCCTACCTAAAAACCCTTCCCTTCTCCTCCCTGCAGGCCTGGGATGACAATGCTTGAGGAGCCCTCGCTGGTGCTGCCCTCCTGCCTGCCCTCTGCTTGGAACACCTCCCCTAAGTGTCAGTGAGTGGACATATATACTTGGATCAATGGAGTTGCACTCTTTGCCTCCCACCTCCTTGGCTGGGCAGAGGGATGGCTCTGGACACTTGTGTCGGCAGCCGGCCCACTTGTCCTTGCAACAGCTGCATATAAGATCTGCCAGCTCCTGTGCCTCTGGCTTTGCAGTCTCACGCCTAGTTACAGTAGCCCATCAGCTGAAAGCCCCGTGTACCCCACACCCTGAATCAGATGTTCTCCAACACCATCAGTGTTCCTCAGGACCACCCTGCAGAGTACATTTATTTGTAACCATTCTTTTTTTTTTTTTTTTTGAGATGGCCTCTCGCTCTGTTGCCCAGGCTGGAGTGCAGTGATGCAATCTCAGCTCACTGCAACCTCCGCCTCCCAGGTTCAAGCGATTCTCCTGCCTCAGCCTCCCATTAGCTGGGATTACACATGCCTGCCACCACGCTCAGCTAATTTTTGTATTTTTAGTAGAGATGGGGTTTCACCATGTTGGCCAGGCTGGTCTCGAACTCCTCGGTGATCCACCTGCCTCAGCCTCCCAAAGTGCTGGGATTACAAGCATGAGCCACCGCACCCAGCAACCATTCTTCTGCTTTTAGAGATAGGATCCTACCATTGCTCAGACTGGAGTGTAATGGCTATTCACAGGTGTGATCATAGCTCACTGCAACCTCAAACTCTTGGTCTCAAGCGATCCTCCTGCCTCAGCTCAGCTTCCCACTTGGGACTACAGGTTTATAAGAGTCTTGCTCTGTCTTGCCCCGGGTGGAGTGCAGTGGCGCCATCTTGACTCACTGCAGCCTCCACCTCCAGGGTTCCAGTGATTTTCCTGTCTCAGCTTCCTGAGTAGCTAGGACTACAGGCATGTGCCACCACACCTGGCTAATTTTATATTTTTAGTAGAGATGGGGTTTCACCATGTTGGCCAGGCTGGTCTTGAACTCCTGACCCCAGGTGATCCACCCACCTAGTCCTCCCAAAGTGCTGGGATTATAGGCATGAACCATGGCGCACAGCCTATTTCACCTTTAGAGGTAAAGTCCTACCCAGGCTGGTCTCAAACTTCTGGGCTCAAGCAATTCTCCCACCTTAGCCTCCTGAGTAGGTGGAACTATAAGTGTGAGCCAATGCACCCAGATGTCTCCTTTCTTTGGATGAGGAAACTGAAGGTCAGAAGGCTCCCCAGCCAACTTGCCTGGAGCTAGTAGAGCTGAGATTTGAACCCTGGTGTGCTGTTACTAAAGCCTCCTCTGACTCCTTGCCCTCTCTCTGCAACTACGAAACTGAGGGTGACAGTGAAGCTAAAATGGGTCAGAGGTGAGTGCGGTACCATGAATAGGTGGGTGTCAGGGCCAAGCAGGGAGTCAGGTTGGGCAGGGCCTGGGATGAAGCTCCCTTTCATGTTGTCATAATTTTACTGAGGCCAGAGCTGCAGCTGGACCATTGTATTTTTTACCCCAGATATTTTTACCCCACTCTGGGTCACCCTGTCCTTCCAGGTTTGGCTACAGGTGGTGGTGAGAGGGTTCAGAGCGCCCTCTTGTGGTCTCTGGTGTATCAAAGCCTGGCACCCTGGTTGCTGGGGCTCAGTGAAGACAGAACTGGGTACTGGCTAGGCTCTGGACTACAAAATTCAGACCAAGACCCTATCCCTATCCATTGCCCTGTCTCTGTCTGTCTTGGTCTCTGTCCATACTAGTCTCAGCCTAGTAGTCTCTTTTCCTCCCTTAAGCTCTCTCATCTGTACCTACCCAGGGGTACAGATAGCAGGCTGATGAGCTGAAGACGCAAAGAAGGGTGGCATCCTAAAAAGAACTCTAGGTTCAAAGGCTGCTGAGACTTGTAAGTTGAGGGAGGACAGAGGCTGGGAAGGAGGGTCTTGCCAGGGTGACCTGCAGGACTGTCCTTGCCCCCAGCTCCTGGGTGGCATGTGTGGCCTGCTGACTAGGCAGGAGCAGGGGAAGGACAGGACCCACTGCCACAGGAGTGTTTCAGATTCTGGTTCTTAGTCCCAGGAGGGGAACTTGATTCCAGGAGAGAGGGCAGGAGGATGAAGTCCACAGAAGGGCACAGGAACCATGCTTTGGTGCTGAGAGAACCCATCAAGGCTCCTGTAAAGGCCCAGCCCCTAATTTCCTGCCTTTCTAGACACCTCGTACCTCCATCACCTCTCTCCCCTTATGCTTAGAGCAGAGGATAGGCCAACGCACCTTACAGCATCCAGAGTAGTTTTATTGCCGGAATCCAGATACAGCCTGTTCAGAGCCCCATGTGGGGCCCACCACTCAGAAACAAAGGGAGAGACAGATGCCAGGCATGTATGCAACAGAGAAAATCCAGCTCCACAGAAACCTTGTGGGAGAGCAGCTCAGACCAGCCTGAAGGTGGCTTTGCGAACCCGACCTAGAGGTTGGACCCTTCTCTTGGCCTGTAGACAGTCACCCACTTAGAGCCTACTGCCATGAAGACAGTCCCTGACTCTCCATGGCTACTGCCACAGGGAAACCCATGCAGCACCCTGGGGCAGACAGAAAGCTCCTCGGGGGGCCTCAGGGGACACCTGGCTCTCTCAGAGTCCCATTCAAGTTTCTAGGCTAGTCCTGGCAGACTAAATACCAGTCAGCTGCCTGGTGGGAGTAGGTGCTGGACAGGGTGACAGGAGTCCCACCACTTCTCAGCCCTGTGCCAACCCGCTTGGGTACTAGTGAGTCTCTAGGGCAGGGTGGCAGTGTGGTGGCGGGGTTAGCAAGAGGTGCAGCTCAGGGAAGCTGCAGGCAGCCTTGACTGCTTCCTTGGATTCCCTTTCTCCACAGGTGCCTCGAAGGCCATGGCTCCCACCCCTGCTGTCATCCTTGGAACAACAGTCCCAGGATGAAGGGGGGTAGCTTTAGTCCTAGGGCCAACAGCACATCTGAGGGAATCAGGGGTCCTGGGACACAGCCTGCAGGACTGGGGGCACATCTGCTGCCCAATCCAGAGCTTGACTGCTCCTGGCGGTAAGGGAGGTAGGAGTGAAGTAAAATGTCCCAGGGTCTGGGAACCATGAAGAACACAACAAACTGCCCCTGCCTGCAGGGGCTACTGGGCTCGCCCCAGGAAGCCACAGTCAGGCTGGCTACCAGCTAAGCCACAGGGAAGCCAGCAGCTCTACTATCCATGGCCAATGGCAGGCCTACCTGTGGCCAGTGTGTGGAAAGGGTCACCCAATGGGCCAAGAGCCCATCCCTGGGACCTTTGGGTACAGGACCACAGCACAGTAACATCCCTCATAGGAAGGCTGTGGGGCCAGGGCCCAGTGGGCAAGTATGAAAAGCCCATGGGGTAGGGGGAACACATGGCCCCAGTTAGGGATTGGGACCAGGGCCCAGCCAGTCCACCCTGCGGAGCCAGTCCTGAGGTCACAGCAATTCTACCATCAGCAGCATTCTTTCCATCCAGTGTCCCTTGAGTCCAGACTCTTATTTCTTCCTTCTTCACTGCCACAGACAAAGGATAACAAATGGCACGTCCCCACAGCAGACGCTTCACAGCTCAAGACTCGGGGCCTTGAATGGTCAGTCACAAACTTTGCGAAACTCATGGGCCATGACAGCCCCAGAGGCCAAGGGTAGGTCCATGGCCGAGCCATCCAGCCCTGCCTGGCACAGGAGTCAGGGCCCAAGGAGCACACGTTTCAGATAGGCCAGAGTGGTGGCGTTGGCCAGCATCTCGATGTGCTCGCTGCCTGGCAGCTCCTGCAGCAACACCTGGTGCTCCTGATGGCTCTGCCAGGCCTGGCACTGCAGGGCACTCTGCAAGTTCACAGTACCATCGCCGTCACCAAAGCAGATTTTAGGGTCACGATCAGGGAAGCTCTCATAGTAGAAGGAGTCTGGTGTGGGGACACCAGTGCCATAGAGGCAGTGCAACTGCACACCAGGTGGCATTGAGGCTTCCACCAGCCCCTCCGTGTCCTGCCGCATGAACCAGCCATCTTCAAAGCCGATGTCCTGGAAGAACTTGCGGTAGTCCCGCAGTGTGTAGTTGATGGTGGGTGTCTGCACAAACACCTTTTCAGGTGACCAGGTGTAGTTGTAGGGCAGTAACCAGCTGGTGGAGACAGCGGACCGCTGCTGCTCCCGGATCTTCAGGGGCCCGATGACTGGGATCCGGTTGTTGTCTCCTGCAGGGAGAAGGCTCCAGTCAGCCTGTGCTTAGGAATGCCAGCTGGTTGGGCAGCATGTTCACCACCAGGCCCCTGCCAGACCCCAGCTAGGGGCCCAGTCCACAGCCCCGCATCTCTACCCTGTTATCATCATTGTAGTAACTGTAACTCTCATCCCTGCCTTGGCTTTTTTTCTTCTTTGTGAGACAGGGTCTCACTCTGTTGCCCAGGCATCATCAAGGCTCACTGTAGCTCACTGTAGCCACCTTCCAGGCTCAAGCAATCCTCCCACCTCAGTCTTCCGAGTAACTGGGACTACAGGTGTGTGCCACCATGCCTCATGCCTGGCAAATTTCATTTTTCCTTTTTTTTTTTAATTTTTATTTTGAGGCAGTGTCAAAATTTAAAAAAAAGAAAAAAAATTGCTTATAGCCATTACTGGGACAAAAAAATATATAAAAATACAAAAATAAAAGAAAAAGAGGCAGGATATCGGTCTGTCACCCAGGCTGGAGTGCAGTAGTACAATCTTGGCTCACTGCAACCTACACCTCCTGGGTTCAAGCAAACCTCCTACATCAACCTCCTGAATAGCTGGAACTATAGGCACGTGCCATCATGCTAAATGTTTCTACTTTTTGTACAGATGGGGGTCTTGCTTTGTTGCCTAGGCTGCTTGCCTTGGCTTTCATTGTTTCCCTTTATTTTTGGTACATCTGGGCGGCACACATCCAGATGTGTTTTGTTTCTTTTGCTTTCCTCACCAGGGAGTGAGGCAGCACATACTCACAGGGTGATTTACGATGCTTCCTTGTCTGTAAACTGTACCCTCCAAGTGCTGATCAGGCCTATGGGCACTGACCTAGCTTAAAGTGAGTCAGCAGGCTGGCAGCCCAGAGGTGATGACATGTTCTGCTTTTTCTTTCATGACAATAAACTGTGTACCAGTTTTTCTTTTCGTAAGCTAGACCAGTGTTCAGCCAGCCATGGTCTCATCCCTCCCACTTGCCTGTGCACTGACCTGGGCAGCCAGGCGTGCTAGAGACAGGGGAGGAGGGGAGGTTGCAGTTGGAGTTGGAGTCCCTTTACACAGGAATGTGAACAACACAAACAACCACCAGCCAGGGAGGCTCTGGGAAGTGAGCTGTAACTTGGGATCAGGAGCCTTTGGCCTGTTCAGGACCATGGTCACCCATCACCCTACCTGCATCTGAAAGTGGGGAGGCCCCTCGGACTGACTGTAGGGCCTTAGCTCTGCCTGCTGTGGCCTGGCTGTAGGACCCCTGAGGCAACGAAAGCCCCTAGGGGTGCATGGACTTCCACTTCCCCACACCACACCCCCAGTCCTGGACTGCCAAGGCCAGACAGAACAGCTTCCCAGCCTCTGAAGCAAAGCTCTAAGGGAACTCACAAACTCTGAAAGGAGCTGGGACCCAAATGCCACTGTGGCTACCTGTCTAAACTCAGGGTATGCCCACATCTGTCCCTCCAAGCCCAGGCTAGACAGAATGGGTGGCCATAATGAGTCCTCACAAAATCTGAATGTCTTCCAGCCAATTCAGAGAGTCACTGGACCTGACCCAATCACAATGCCAGTTGACCGAGCAGGTCATGCAGTACCAGGGACTTGAGCTCACAAGATGCTTGGCATAGCTCTAGCTCATAGCTCCCAAAGTGAGGGTCCATAAGCCTCCCCCTAGTCCTAGCAAAGGGAGGAAAGCTCCCTCCTAGAGCAGGAAGCTCTACTCTACAGCTGCAGCTGGCGAGCTGCAACAGTCATGAAAAGATGGGGCAGAAGCCAGAAAGGGGGTGGCTTTCCCAACTGCCAGGCAAGCAGGCCCAGCCAGATCTGCACCTGTTTCCTCCCTGTGTTGCCCACAGAGGCTCCTTGCTACCCACAGATGAAGGTGCAACTCATAAATAAAAAACAAGTCTAGGGGCCAGGTGCCGTGGCTCACACCTGTAATCCCAGCACTTTGGAGGCCAAGATGGGTGATCATTTGTGGTCAGGAGTTCAAGACCAGCCTGACCAGCATGGTGAAACCACATCTCTACTAAAAATACAAAAAAATCCGGCTGTGTGCAGTGGCTCACACTTGTAATCCCGCCACTTTGGGAGGCTGAGGCAGGCAGATCACTTGAGGTCAGGAATTCCAGACCAGTCTGGTCAACATGGTGAAACCTGGTCTCTACTAAAAATATAAAAATTAGCTGGGTATGGTGATACGTGGCTGTAGTCCCAGCTACATGGGAGGCTGAGGCAGGAGAATCACTTGAACCCGGGAAGTGGAGGTTGCAGTAATCCGAGATTACATCACTGTACTCTAGCCTGAGTGGCAGGGTGAGACCCTGTCTCAAAAAAACAAAACAAAACAAAAAAACTGATCTAGGCTTCCTCCTCTGGTGTGAAGGTGGGGATAAAGAAGTAAAGATAGGGGTAAGAAGGAGGGATGGCCAGGTGTGGTGGCTCACAACTGTAATACCAGCACTTTGGGAAACCAAGGTGAGTGGATCACCTGAGGTCAGGAGTTAAAGAACAGCCTGGCCAACATGGCGAAACCCCATCTCTACTAAAAATACAAAAATTAGCTGGATGTGGTGGCAGGCACCTGTGGTCCCAGCTACTCAGGAGGCTGAGACAGGAGAATCACTTGAACTCCGGAGGCGGAGGTTGCAGTGAGCCGAGATGATGCTACTGTACTCCAGGCTGGGCAATAAAGCAATACCTTGTCTCAAAAAAAAAAAAAAAGAAAGAAAGAAAGAAAAAAGAGGGAGGCACAAGGTTTAATCCAAAGTTCTTTGGCCAACCACGCCTGAGCACTATGTGTATATATGTTTGCATTGTGTGTGTGTGTGTGTGTGTGTGTGTGTGTGTGCGCATGCATGCACACAAACGGGTACCTGTGTGACCAACATTTATGCCACTCTGTATACATGGCTGTAAGAAACCTACACAGATAGCCGGGCGTGATGGCTCACGCCTGTAATCCCAGCACTTCAGGAGTCTGAGGCAGGTAGATCATGAGGTCAGGAGATCAAGACCAGCCTGGCCAAGATGGTGAAACCCCATCTCTATTAAAAATATAAAAATTAGCCGGGCACAGTGGTGGGCACTTGTAATCCCAGCTACTTGGGAGGCTGAGGCAGGAGAATTGCCCGAACCCAGGAGGCAGAGGTTGCAGTGAGCCAAGATCTCACCACTGCATTCTAGCCTGGGCAACAGAACAAGACTCAAAGAAAGAAAGAGAGGGGGTGGGGAGAGAGAGGGGGAGAGAGAGAGAGAGAGAGGAGAGAGAGAGATGTACACAGATTACAAGGGCTATCAACTAGATGGGTGAAATTAGCAGTAGTGTTAGATTCTCTCTTTCTTTCATACCTAGTCCCCCAGAAGATTCTCTTCTGGAGAAAAAGATATTCGAAAAAGGACGGGACAGGGCAAGGTGGCTCACACCTGTAATCTTGGCACTTTAGGAGGCTGAGGTGGGCAGATTCCTTGAGCTCAGGGATTCGAGATCAGCCTGGGAAACATGGTAAAACCTCTTCACTATACAAAATACAAAACTTAGCCAGATGTGGTGCGCGCCTGTGGTCCCAGCTATTCAGAAGGCTGAGGCCAGAGGATCACGGGAACCCAGCAGGCGAGGTTGCAATCAGCCAAGATAGCACCACTGTATTGTACTTCAGCCTGGGTGGAGAGTGAGACCCTCCATCAAAAAAAAAAAAGAAGAAAGAAGAAAAAAGAAGAAGGAAGAAGAAGAAAGAAGAAAAGAAGAAAGAAGAAAAAAGAAGAAGGAAGAAGAAGAAAGAAGAAAAGAAGAAAGAAAAGAAGGAAGAAGAAAGAAGAAGAAGAAAGAAGAAAGAAGAAGAAAGAAGAAAGAAGAAGAAGAAAGCCACTTTGAAGAAAAAAAGAGTGCTACCCCAAGAGAAGAGACACTGTGGAGACCAAAGCAACTCCATCTTGGATACTAATCCATCATGTTGCCTTCTGATTAACCCCAGGAAGGCCACTAAGATTTCCACTTTATTTTCTGTTCCTTGTATAAGGGCATGTACTTACTTTACCATAAGTGAAAAAAGCCTCCATGTTATCATCCTTCAATGTCCAACACATCCCACCAGAGTCACCCTTTCCCTACAGAATATAAGCCCTAGGTCTGGGGGCTAATGGGGTGGGGATCTACCATCTTATCTTGCCACCACCTGAGACACAGATGTGGCTTCTATTCATATGTCCTATTAAATGTTTTTCTCTGAGAAACTAGGTTTGTCAGCCTCTTTCTTGAACTTTTTTTTTTTTTTTTT